ATCTACGACTGTTTGTGGGACATTGCTGTGCGTAATTGGCTGCCGCGTTCGCCCACAAATATACAGTCAATTCACTTTGCAGTGTGTTCTGTGAAGCGCTTTGGGACGTCCTCCCGACGTGAAAAGGATTATTATTATTATTATTATTATAATGTGGAGAAATGCTACGTGATACATTTTGGGAGGAAGAATGAGGAGAGACAATCTAAGCTGTTGGTACAGTCTTAAAGGGGGTGAAGGAACAGAGAGACTTGGGGTTCATATAGTAAATCTTTGAAGGTGGCCGGACAGGTAGATACAGCTGTTAAAAAAAGTATACGGGATACACGGCTTTATAAATAGGGGCATAGAATACAACAGTCAGGAAGTTATGATGAACCTTTATATAAAACACTGGTTAGGCCTCAGGTACAGACTGTGCTCAGTTCTGGGCCCCACACTTTAGGAAGGATGTCAAGGCATTGGAGAGGGTGCAAAGGAGATTGACCAGAATGGTACCAGGAATGAGGGACTTCAGTTATCAGGAGAGGCTCGAGAAGCTCGGATTATTCTCCTTGGAGCAGAGAAGGTTAAGAGGAGACTTAATAGAAGTTTTCAAAATGATGAGGGGATTCATTAGAGTGAACAAGGAGAAACTATTCCCACTGACGGGTGGGTCGGTAACCCGAGGGCACCGAGTTAAAATAGTTGTTAAAAGAAACAGAGGGGATGTGAGGAGAAATGTTCTCACACAGTGAGTTGTTGAGATCCGTAATTCATTTCCTGAAAGGCCGGTGGAAGCCGATTCAATAACAACTTTTAAGTGAGAAGCAGATAATTATTTGGGGAGGACAAGTTTGCAGAGCTATGGGGAGAGATCGGGGGAGTGGGGTTGATCAGGGCTATGGGGAGAGATCGGGGGAGTGGGGTTGATCAGGGCTATGGGGGAGAGTGGGGGAGTGGGGTTGATCAGGGCTATGGGGAGAGAGGGGGGAGTGGGGTTGATCAGGGCTATGGGGAGAGAGCGGGGGAGTGGGGTTGATCAGGGCTATGGGGAGAGAGCGGGGGAGTGGGGTTGATCAGGGCTATGGGGGAGAGGGGGGAGTGGGGTTGATCAGGGCTATGGGAGAGAGCGGGGGAGTGGGGTTGATCAGGGCTATGGGGAGAGAGTGGGGGAGTGGGGTTGATCAGGGCTATGGGGAGAGAGCGGGGGAGTGGGGTTGATCAGGGCTATGGGGAGAGAGGGGGGGAGTGGGGTTGATCAGGGCTATGGGGAGAGAGCGGGGGAGTGGGGTTGATCAGGGCTATGGGGAGAGAGCGGGGGAGTGGGGTTGATCAGGGCTATGGGGGGAGCGCGGGGGAGTGGGGTTGACTTGGAAGCGAGGGGGGGGGGGGCTGGAGGTGGTGTGTTTATTGTACACTAAACTCAAATAATCTGGTAAAACGTGGACACAAACTCGCTGTTAAGTTCATTCACCAGAAGCTCTCAGATTTGGTGTGTTGAGAGTGTGACCTGTGACCTGGTGGGAGCCCGACCCTGCCCTCAGCCACCGGCCTACTCACTGCGATGCCCATTTGTTGGGGGCCAAGTCGGAAGGGCTGGCGCTGAGACCGTCTGTCTTCCAATAGAGGGCTGAGTGCTGTCCTGAGCCAATGGCAGTCTGACTGGGAGGAGAGAGGCTGATCTCAGGGCGATTGGGGGGGAGGTGTTTCCGTCTAATGTGAAAGTGAAAGCAGCAGAGAGCCACAGGCTGCCCAGCACAGAGACCGCTCCTCAACGTTAAGTGTGCAGGGAGAGAGCAACCGCCACCCTCACACCTACCCCACGGCCACGGTGAAGGGAACCAAAAGCCCTGCGGGGTGAGTGGGGGGAGAAGGTCCCTGTTCTGAGCTGCGGAGTTTCCCAGAGGTAAGGCAGGTATCACAGTGACCAGGGTGTGTTGCTGATGCTCTAAATAACTCGCATCGTGTGTGATCATACAGGACCTTTAGTGTACAGCTTGGCTCAGTCACTCACACGCTCACCTCTCAGTCAGAAAGTTGTGGGTTCAAGTGCCACGTCGGGACTTTGAGCTCAGAGTCTCGGCCAACGCTAGTCTGTGAGCTCAATGTTGCGCTCCACCCGGCAGCGCAGCCTTTTGATGGAATGTTAAAAATCCCATGGAGCTATTGGGAAAGGGAAGGGAGTTTCTCCCTCCTGGTGTCCAGGCCAACATTCCCCAATGAAATGGGTTATTCATTTCAGGGCTGTTAGTCGGATAATGCTGTGCACAAATTGACTTCCAAGTTTGCCCATAAAAAAATGCGGTTACTCCACTTCAGTCAATTCTATGAAGTGCTTTGAGACTTCTCAGTGAAGTGATAAGGTGCTGTACCAAATGTTAGTTATTATTGTTCAAGCCCACATCGGACTTTGAGCTAACAAAAACAACAACAACAAGATTCCATTTATAGAGCACCTTTCACGTCGGGAGGACGTCCCAAGGCGCTGTACAGTTGGGTCAGGACTCGGGTTGGGTCAGCATTGGGGGGGGAAATGGTCGAGGGGAGGGAAGGGAGGGAGGAGGGGGAAATGGTCAGGTGAGGGGAGGGAAGGGAGGGAGCGAGGAGGGGGAAATGGTCAGGGTGAGGGGAGGGAAGGGAGGGAGCGAGGAGGGGGTAGAGAGTCGAGAGGGGAGCTGAAGGTACAGTCAAAGAGAAAGGTCTTGAGACCGCCTTGAAGGAGGAAAGGGAGGAAGCGGCGAAGGCAATGGGGGATGGAGTTCCAGAGCCTCGGGGCTGAGAGGCTGAAGGCCCATCCACCGATGGTAGGGCAGTTGGGGCGGGGGATGTGGAGCAGACCGGAGCCAGAGGAACGGAGGGTACGGGCGGTAGGTAGGGGGATAGTAGGTCAGAGAGGTAGGAGGGAGCGAGGCTGTGAATGGCCTTGTAGGTGAGGATGAGGATCTTGAACAGTCGAGGCTGATGCTCCAGTACAGTAATGGATGGGGGTTGGGGGGGGGAAGGGCTGCATTGTTGGAGGGCACTTATATAATAATAATCCTTACATTTGATATAGCGCCTTATCATTTTGTTGCAACGTCTCAAAGCGCTTCAAAGAATATACTGTAAAGTGGATCGAATGTGTTTTGTGGGCGAAACGCGGCAGCCAATTGCGCACAGCAGTGAAAACAGTCATGAATTGAGTCACCATATTATTATTTTATTTCTTATTTTTTTTGAAGGGATTATTATCTCGGGATGTGACATCCTTCAGATCAGACTCCTAACTCTCTCTCTCTCTCACAGTATCAGGTCCCCCGCACTTCCCGCCCCACCGTTGGTGGTCGGGCATTCAACATCTCTGCCTCCACACTCTGGAACGCTATCCCGCAATCCCTCCGACTCACCCCCTCTCTTGCCTCCTTCAAGTCCTGTCTAACGATCTTGCTCTTCGACCGTGCCTTTGGCAACCCTCCCACCTTCACCTCCCCGCCCTCCTCCCCTTCTGATCCCAACTCTCAGCTCGGGTCCAAAACCCCGGATTGTCCAGCGCCCTGGGACGTCTTTCCTATATGAAGGACGCTATACAAGTGTAACTTGTTGTTGTTTGTCTTGTTCTCTCACTAGTGTACCCGCGCTCTCAAACTTTCAAGACTGAAGTAGATAGATATTTGTTAGGTCAGGATATCAAGGTTTATGGGGCAAAGGGCAGGTAATTGGAGTTGAGGTACAGATCGGCCATGACCTAATAGAATGGCGGAACAGGTTCGAGGGGCTGAATGGCCAACTCCTGTTCCTATGTTTCTCTCTCTCTCATTCTCTTCTCCCCCATCAGGTGCCTGAAGTTGTCCTCTGGTGACCATGCCGAGACCCAGCCACAGTGACTATGTCCTACAGCAGCTTAACAGCCAGCGGGAATGGGGCTTCCTGTGTGACTGCTGCATCATCGTGAACGATATCTACTTCCGGGCCCACCGTGCGGTGCTGACCGCCTGCAGCTCCTACTTCCGCATGATGTTCATCAGCCAACAGCACTTGACTGGCAACCTGAGCCTCAGCAACATGAACATCAGCCCCGAGTGCTTCGATCTCATCCTGCAGCTAATGTACTTGGGCAAAGTCATTGGTGTCCCCTCGGACTTCGAGGAACTGCGGACCGCCATGACCTTCCTGCAGCTCTACTACATCCCAAAGAGCTTGGAGGAGATCCAGGATGCCAACAGCAAGCTGGCCGAGACGTCGCCCTTGGCCTTTGCCCACACCCGGGGCTCCATGATCTTTGGTGTCCGCATGTATGACGACCCGCAGGTCAAGAACGAAGATGTAAGGAAGAGGAGCCGGCTGGCCACCGAGGAGCTGAATGGGGGTCGGGACGGGAGCCTAGAGGTTCCCCACGTCTCTGGCCTGGACCGGCTCCCGTCCCGGTTGCCCCCCAGCCCCCCTCGCAAACAGGGCAAGGCGGGCCTGAAGAGCCGACTCCACCATCACCACCATCGCTTCGGCAAGAAGTACACGTGTGACTGCTGCGGCTTCGTCTTCAGCTGTGAGAAGTTGTTGAGCGAGCACGCGGTGACCTGCAGCAGCGGGCGTAACCCCCCTCCGCTGGGGGGCATGGGCACGGAGCGGGGGCTGGGCTCTGGTCTGGGGCTGGGCTCCAGCCTGGGGTTGGGGCCAGCACCAGGGCCTGACGGCAGTGAGGAGAGCAGCTCTGACCGAGCGGAGGGGCCGGTAGACACCGGCCGTCCCGCGGACAGACAGGACTCCCCGGGGATGCAGACAGAGGACAGCTCGGAGGCAGACGCAGACGCCAAAGGGGATTTCCGAGACTCGGCCACCAACACCAAGCTGATGAACACCAAACTGATCAAAACCGAGCCTGATGACACAGCGGCTACGGACCTGCGGGACATCAAGGTGGTGCAGATCATGGACAACGGGGACCTGGCGTCCGATGAGGAGAAGGAAGACTGTCTGGAGACCATCACCAACGGCCCCCAGGGGGCGACCATCAGTGACCAGGGCACCTATCACAGGGACCGTAGGCTGGACGTGCCATCGAGCTGGGCGCTGGAGGACAAGGAGGAGGACGAGGACTTTGATCGGGTGTTGAAGATCGAGCCTCGGGAGCATAGCCCTGGGAGCGGGGAGGGGGGCAGCCCCTTGGGTTACGTGTGTGAGCTGTGCGGGGTCACCCTGCCCGAGGGCGACCACTTGGCCCATTACATCTCCAGCCACGTAGAGAGTGTGTGCGCGTGTGGCAAGTGCGGCCGAGTCCTCATCAAGGGCAAGCAGCTGATGGAGCACGCCGAGCGCTGCGCGGGGGGGTCCGGGGAACCCGCCGACTACGGCTCCTGGGTCCCGGACGAGGCGGGGACCATGGAGGTGGAGCCGGTGCCCAAGAATGGAGCCGGGCTGACGGAGTTCGGAGTCTACGTGTGTCAGGTGTGCGGCTGCAGCTTCAAGCTGCGCCTCCACCTGCAGGAGCACATGCTACAGCACACGGCTCGCAGCTTCCAGTGTCTGCAGTGTGGCCGGGCCTTCGGCCAGGAGAAGCTGTGGGTGGAGCACATCGCTCAGTGCATGTTCAGCCAGGCCACGCAGGAGGCGGCCGACAGGAACGACCGGCGCAAGCACATCTGTAACATCTGCGGCAAAGGCTTCTACCAGCGCTGCCACCTCCGGGAGCACTTCACCACCCACACCAAGGAGAAGGAGTTTGTGTGCCAGATCTGCGGGAAGGAGTTCCTGCGCGAGAGGCTGCTGCGCTTGCACATCGACATGCACCGAGGGGACGCCCGCTACGTCTGTCCAAACTGTAACCAGGGCAGCTACCGCAAGCACGACCACCTGCGGCACATGGTGTCACACCTGGCCGCCGGAGAGGTGATCTGCGACGTGTGCTTCCAGATCTTTGCCAGCGGAGATCTGCTGGAGAGGCACATGGACCTGCACCTCCACTCGTGCTCCCTGTGTGGGGACAAGTTCAAGCTCAAGAAGGACTTGACTCTCCACCACATCTCCAGCCACACCAAGAAAGTCTGACCCAATCTGCGTGTTTTGTCGCAGAAGAAAAGAGGAGAGAGAGGAAAAGAGTTTTATATCTGAAAAACTTTTTTAGGGATGCTCTGCCGATTAGGGTGGAAACTTCTCTGGTTTGTGTCAACTCTCCTATTACCTTCCTCCCCAGCCCCCGCCCTCTTCTTTGCGCTAAGGCGCTATATCAAATGCAAGGATTATTATTGTATTATTATTGCTCACCCCCCCCCCCACCCACGCTTGCCTTCTCCCATTGCTTCCCACCCCCCCGCCACTCGCCATTCTTCCCCTCTTGCTCCCCTTGTGCCCCCACGTGGAGTGGGGGGGTGGGTGGGGGTAAGCCAGAGGAAACGGGTGCACACACCAGTTATGTTTTAAGCATCTCATTCAATCAGATGGGGCCTGGTCCAATTAAAATGGCTTTAATTCATATTTTAACACCCAGGCTTCGCAATCCAGGGTACCTGATCCCAGGGAGTGTTTCGTTACAGCCAATCAGTCTGGGTTTACACAGTAAAATAGTTTCTTTTTAATTTTGTTTTAAAAACAAAAATCATGGTTTTACAATTCTCTCAGCATTTCAGTGCTCCGTTCAACTTCGTCATCCTTCAGCTGAAAGTGTGCCGTGGGTCGTTTGCTATTTTTGGCTTGCAAGTGGAAAATGTTATTTTGGTGATGGGGTGGGGGGGGGCGTGAGGGTGAGTAGGAGTGCACAGAACCGGGGGCAGAAATGATTGTTGTGACCCATCTAGTCGGCCCTGAATAATCTTCCCATATTGCTGTGTGGCTCACACCCCTCGAGCAGATCAGTTCCTCCCCCACATGGCTATCCAGTTCCTGAATTTGCTGACCCCATCAGTCTCTGCCGTTGCTCTGGATTGTCCATTCCAAAACCTCGCTTCTCACTCTCTGTGGAAAGGTCTGAACTCTCTGCTCGCCTCTCAAGCCTGTGCCCCTCGCCACAGTTTGTTAAACTTATTGAAAGAGTTTGTTTTATCGATGCCTTTACAATCTTAAACACTTCAATATGCTCTTAGAAATATGTCCACACACTGAGCAGGAGGTGAGGTGAGGAAGGGTTGGTGGACTGAGCTGAAACAGTTAACTCGGTGTGAGTGTCGCTTCATTCATTAAACACGACTTGTGCCTTCAGAGAATGTACTGTGCTACATTGGTGATCGACATCGCCATCAGCCTGTGGACCCGAGCCGCCTGGAGGAGGGAATCCGCTTCCTCCACGCCTACAACCTGGTGCACGACCCAGGCCACAGCGCAGGCTTTGCTGCCCACCATGAGCTGCTACCCCTCCAGTCGCCCAACCTGTACGGCATCCAGATCTCCGGCTCCCACAAGCTGAGCGTCAGCAGCCCGTCTGCGGGGGGCCTGAGGGACCTGCAGCCCCCCGCCCTCCGCAACGGCTCGGAGCCGCTGGCAGCCCCCTCCCCCAGCAGTGTCCACGAGCAGCGATACTCCCGGGGCCCGGAGCCTGGGACCCCCGAGGAACACAGCCCAGCTCCAGCCCCCACCCCGGCCCCTCGTGGCCTCCAAGTGTCCGGCCTGAACCTCAAGCGAGGCAAGTCTCACAAGCTTTACTCCTGTCATTACTGTGGGGAGAGGTTCAGCACCAGGAGCAGTCTCCGCGACCACCTGTACTCCCACTCCTCGGGACCCCCCGGCGAGAGCAAGCCCCCCCTGGCCAGCGAGGAGCTGGAGAAGGCCGAGGGGGCGGAGCTGAGAAGCAAGGCCCCGGAGCAGGGCGACGGCAGCATTGCCGACGAGACTCCTCACACCATCGTCACCGAACCCGAGACCCCGGACACCGGCGCCCATTTCTCTGGCCAGGAAGAGGAAGTTCAGCTGCTTGATGTGTGGCCGTGAGTCTCTCCACAGTGCAGTGAATGTCCGGAGACTTGGGGGGGGGGGGGCGGCGGGGGTGGGAGGGTAGTGGCGGGGAGGGGGGTGTGGTGGGTGGGTGGGTGGTGGGGGGAAGAACAGTCAGCACAGCCTCAGTGACACACTAACCCTCTGTTCTGCTCTCTTTCCTCAGACTGCTCAGAGACGGAGCTCGGCAGCTCCCCCCAGGCCCGTGAGGACACGATGGCGAGCGACGTCAGCAGTAACGGGCAGAAGCTGGCGGTCATACAGGTGTCCGCGGGCGAGATGGAGAGGGCCTTTCGCGAGGTATTTGCCCAGTACGGTCGCCCGCACGCCCACTGCCACTACAAGTGCCGTCAGATCAACTGCGAACGTGTGCAGCTCAGCTACAAGCGCGGAGACAAATTTGTGCACAAGTGGCTGTCAAACAAGGACCTGACCTACTGCGAGCGGACGGGCATCTACTGGCTGCTGTACGAGGAGGGCCAGGGTATGTTCTGCTTCCTGTGCCGCAAGCACGACACCCAAAACAAGCAGAACAAGACCAAGGTGTTTAACGGGACGCCCGCCGTGCGCTACAAGAAGGCGGCGCTGCAGGTCCACGCAGAGTCCCAGCAGCACATGGCCGCCGTTCAGGCCGAGCTGAACGCCCGCGCCTCTGGACACCAGGTGGTGGAGCGGGTCAAGGAGATGGAGGAGACCGGCATGCTGTTCGTCCTCTTCCTGGCGGCTTACTGGCTGGCCCGGGAGGACATCCCCAGCTCCAAGCTGCTCTCCCTCCTGCGGCTGATGAGCGAGGCCGGTCTGAGGGGCCTTACTCACTTCCGTCGCTCCGAGACCCTGCGTGAGATCTTCGTGTCGCTGGGGAACGTGATCCAAGAGCAGGTGGTCCGGGGGGTGCAGAGGGCCGGCTGCTATGGGCTGCTGTCGGACCAGGTGAGCGGAGGAGACCTGCTCAGCTCGGTCCAGTACGTCGATCCCCATTCGGCGGAGGTGAGGACCGGCTTCCTGTGTGTGGACGGGCTGATGGGCTGGGCGGGGGGCTCGCAGGCCG